TATATATATATAGCGAGAGAAACGTAATTAATAGTGAACTTCTGGGCTATCTAATATGCTCATTTAGTAAACCAAGAATTATTTTATGAGGGAATGTGGAAATTGTATGATGCTATTTGTGCCTTTTTTAATAATCTGGCCACCCTCGTACCAGTAGCTAGCTTAGTTTTTTTGGACGTAGCTTAGCTGCAGCCGTTAAGAAACAGCGTCTCTATCCAGAGTATCTGCGGGCTAATATTAGAGGAAATGTCAGAGCTCCATCTGAACCGTTCCCTGAGCGTCCTGGAAGTGGAGGCGAGGAGGAGAGGAGAGGGTTTGAGCATATAAAACGGAGGCAAAGGAGAATGATTTCACGATACAACCGGAGACCTGTATCGCACAAACTCGAGATGTGAGTAGCTGACATAATTTCTTTATTTTTTTCCTTCTATTCTGCTATTATTCAGTGGAGGGGGGTTTGATGATTGACTGTTAACCTACACTAGTGACAGAAAGAGTAAAAATGATTATTTGTGTTGATCGATGTGGCGATATTCCAGCTTGCCCGTGGTCTATTTGTGAACATGGCAATCAGCTCATTTTAGTTGATTGTCACATTTTTATTTCATACCACCCACTCTATTTATTTTCTCTCCAGAGAAAGCTGTCAAGCCATAAGAATGAAATGTAGACATTTATTTAATGGGATTGACTCAATAAGAGATACAAAACCAACACTATGGGTAGATACAATGGAATCAAGTGTAATCACAGTGTAATGTTTAAAAAACACATAATCTCCAGCTGTTTTCACTGGTGTCTGTTTTCTTCATGTCATCTTGTCATATTACAGTGCAGTGAAAAAATAGACAAATATATGAGTAAATATTAAACAAAGATTTAGATTTCAACTAAGCGCAAAATGCAGTTTTTAAATAATTTTATTTATTTGGGGGGGGGGGAAGCTATCCAAACCTACCTGCCCCTGTGTGAAAAAGTCTTTGCCCTCCCTTGTTATGCCATAAATTAACCACATTGTTTGGAAAGCTGTGTTCAATTTCACTAGCCACACCCAGGTTCGATTACTGCCAGACCTGTTGACTTAAGAAATAATTTAAGTAAGTGGGTAAATAGATCTCAAAAGATCTCAAAAAGCAACACACTGAGCCACAATCTACATAAACTCAAAAACAGCTGAGAAACAAATTCACTGGATTTTTTTTTATTCTGGAAATGGTGACAAAACCATTTCTAAGGCTTTTGGAAAACTGCAGGCCTCGAATGTCTCAATTAAGATCAGTGTTCATCATTCAGCAACAACAACAAAAAAGAAAATGGGCAAAAATGGCATGCAGGGGAGAGTTCAATGGCAAAACCCACTGCTGACCAGAAAGAAACAAAGGCTCATCTTGTTTGCCAGAAAACATCTTGGTGATCCCTTCATGAAGACTTTTGGGAAAAGAATCTTTGGACTGATGAGACAAAAGTTGAACGTTGTACAAGGTTTATGTCCTGTTTTATCTGGTGTAAAACTAACTCAGCATTTCATAAAAGGAACTGCCAGCAACATTCAAACATGGTGGTGGTAGTATGATGGTCTGGGGCTGCTTTGCTGCCCCAGGACCTAGATGAAGCATAATTGATGGAAATATGAATTCTGCAGCAGAACAATAATTCGAAACACACCAGCAAATGC